TTATCTTAAGCATATTTATGAGAGATTTCCAAAACCGATGTCAACCCTAACAAGGAGACAGATTATGGAAATGAGGAAGAATCGAAACTTATGAGATAGTGACCTGTAAGAGTCAAAAGAATGTAATAGTAATGCTTGTTTATTACGTCCAACAAATGTAGAGTTCAGGCAGAAGTGGCGTAATGACAACATACATTTCTCTGTTTTCTATAAAAGGATTCTCTTGTGTTGATAACGGGAGAGACAACCCAGATATACTGTAGTATCAACGTCACGCTGCTCTACAGCTCTATTTTTTATTCAACTTATTTTCATACCTCATCGGATTTAAAACTCTGCACGTGAAACCTCACACACCATCACACTCCTCTAGGGATCTTTTCTTCCCTGCGAATTCAATATATTTGCATCCTGTATTGGAGGCATTCGTAATATCATGTAAGTACTGCTGGAAACACAACACACCTGCAGCGAAAGTAATTACATCATGTTGTGTTAATGAATCTTCAGCACAAATTTGGTTTATTGTGGTACAGAAGTACATAAGTATAACAAACCAGTTACGAACCCCTTTAAAAATTACGAGTATTTTCTTCGGTTTCGTGTCTTGGAAGCTTGTCACCCCAAAGCGTCGAGTCGTCTCCTCCGAGACGTACCCCGTGGGTTCGTCGCGCGCACTTGGCGTCGGCGGCTGAAGCGCTGCCTGCGTGTTGATGCGCCGAGTGCTGTTTGCTCGCGAAGGGCGGCGCGGGGGGGGGGATTTCCCAAAAGTGCGTGTCGTGTGGCTGCGGCTGCTCGTGACGGATGCAAGGCGAAATTACTCGGAAGCGTATCGATCCTCTGGTGGGGGTTACGAACGATTCGAGTCGGTGCCTCGCCTCCAACAAGGTTTCAAACAAGCACCTGTTCCACAATCAACCGGCTAAGGAGATCAACTGATGTCACTGTAGTGAGGCTGTCAGCAAGGTTCTAAGGTTTGAGCCCCGAAGGTGGGAGGATTTTCCACACTAACTAGGTAGCTGGGTTAAATTAAGCTGCACTCTGGATTAGAAGTCCAGTACGTGGCACCTCTGATCGATATTTTTCTGTGGTTTCTCCGAGATGGGGTGCTAGGGTGAAACAGCAACGTCCGAACGATGAAGTCGGGTGTTGCAGGTGGAGGGCAGCGAGAGCGTGGGTTCTGCAAAATGAAGGCAGTGCCGCCGGTGGGGATAAAGTTGAGAAGCGAGTTACTGCGAGAGAGGAGACACAGTTAGGATGCAGGGCCGAAATAACTCGACATTTGCGGAAGATAGCTCCGGGAGTGAAGGCAGCGAGGGTCGCCAAGGCGGAACGGTGTGTTTGGGGGTGGTGCAAGAGGCCGGGCAGCGGAGAGTGAATTCTGAATTAATTGATTGCCATCGATTCCTGGTGCGTCAACTCATAAGGTCATTAGTCTCGAAGTGCAGTGCTTATGTTTTGCCTGGGTGGTGTTGATCGGGGGCGGGGAGATCCGATGTCTACTCTCCATCGACCAGCAGTGTTTTCCCTAACCAGGTATCTCCCACCAGCGTGCCACCACCCCAGCCGGGGCAAGCTCTAAACTCCTGGCCGGTATCCCTGCATTTGTTTTAGTATAGTGCATGTCAGTGTAAGTGTGTGTAAGTAAAGGGTGAGGAGAGAACAAGGAAGAGGGAGAAAATATCGCACGCCTGGTGTTTACCGAAGAAAGCGCGGAAATCTAGCTATCAGAGACGCTGGGCGCTAAAATTCTCCTCCCGACAGCGACAGAACTCGACCCAGCTAATCTAGCTAGTGTCGAAAATCATACCACGGCCGGGCCTCGAACCATGAGGCCTCCCGGTCAGAGGCACTGCAAAGCCCTGTGCCGCCTCTCCCGTCGCATAGAATCTGAAAAGCGTGGCGGCGCCAGCGGGGATGGAGGGCACTGCAAGCGGGCGGGGGGGGAGTGAGGCCTAGGGCTGGGAGGGCGAGCGAGGCGCGGG